CCCCAAAACCCCAAAACCCCCTTGTGGTATAAATTGCACAAAAAATAAACTAATGATTATTGAATAAATCAACGAATAAGTTTAATATTGTTCGGGATTAATGATCAAGCATCAGAATTGTAGGATAAGTTTCATGCTTTTTCAAGAGCTTATTTGATGTCATCCTTAAGATCCTTCAAATCTTCAATACCAGTAGATATTCTGATGAAGTTATCATCGATTCCAAGGATTTTTCTTTGTTCTGGAGGGACAGAGAAGTGAGTCATCAAAGCTGGGTTCTCAATCAAACTCTCGACTCCTCCAAGTGATTCAGCCAAAGTGAAGATCTTGACTGCTCTAAGGAATCTCTCAGCTGTTTTAATGTCTCCTTTAATATAGAAAGAAATCATTGCTCCTGGACCTCTTGATTACCTCTTTGTTAATTCATATTATGGATGAGATTAGAGACCTGGATAAATTACTTTTTCTACTTTCTCATGGCTCTCAAGGTACTCTGCAATTTATTGTGCATTTTACATGGCTCTTTCCATTCTAATAGCGAGGGTCTTGCTACCTCTCAATGCAAGATAGCAGTCAAAAGGGGAAGCACCAGATCCAATTGCTAATAATTACATCAATCACTATGAGTTGCTTACATTTCATGGAAAAGAACAATTTGTCGTAAAGTTCCTTGTCATTAAGGCAGATGCAGCCCATAACAACATCTGAGTGACCTCCAATATACTTGGTAATTGAGTGAACTACTATGGTGGCACCAAGGTTAAGAGGATTCTATTTTTAGTATTAATGTTTAAGATAAAATACCTGAAGATAAGGTGACATGAAGGTGTTATCAACTACGAACATTACACCTTTTTCTTTGCATATTTCGGCTACAGCGGCAATATCACAAATCTTTAGAGTTGGATTCGTTGGGGTCTCTGCCCAGACGATCCTTGTGTTTGGCTTAATGGCAGCTCTTACATCATCGAGATTTCCAAAATCAATCATGCTGAGTTCTATTCCTTGCTTTTCAGTCAGAATCTTTCTGAGATATCTCTAAGTTCCACCATACACATCATCAATGCAAAGGACATGCTCGCCTTGAGTAAGTAGCTGCATGATTGTAACACAAGCAGACATTCCACTGTTTAAGGCGAAGGCGTATTTAGCATTCTCAAGTGAAGCAAGATTTCTCTCAAGAGCAAGTCTAGTAGGGTTTCCACATCTTGCATAGTCGAAGCACATTGGCTGACCGGGATATGGTTGAGCATATGTAGTAGAGAGATCAATTGCTGGTGAGACTCCTCCAAATTTGCCATCAGGCTCATTGCCACAATGGATAGCTCTGGTTGAGAAACCACTAACAAAGGTCTGAATGTTTTAAAAACTTACAGTTCTGAGTATTTGGAATCAAGACTGAAATAATCCCACATTTATTAAGGCTGAGCCTCAAGTTATTTAAGTTCACTGTCCATGTTGTTGTTAACTTTTATCTTTAATATATATATATATCAAGTTAAGGAAATAAAGATTTTAATATCTTTGCTTTATATTTACTAAGATTATAGTTTAATATTAACAATTCAAAATCTAAGAATCATATTCATACTCACTCTTAAAAATAGGTATATTAATATATTCCTGAACTCAACTTGAACCCTTCAATTCATCTGTAATATCATAATTAACACTCACATAATGATTTTATCGATTATATTTTATGTCTATAATTTTCCTTCATGCAAAGTCCTCAACCTTCTCTATCTTTTGCTTGCATTAAATATCCCAGACATTTTAACCATCAATGCATCCTATAAGATTTGCTTATCCATAGATCCGTTCTCCTTCACTTCATCATTGATAAAATTTAATATCATTTCATCAGCCACATACATTTGCTCAGTCCATTCAGCTGTTGCCTAAATAGCATTTTTAAAGATTTGGCCCTTGTCATCTTACTTTTTATCAATCCAAGGTCTATAAAATTATTTTGCTTAATTAATGACTTACTCGTAATCATAAATCCAATCACTTAATTTTTTTGAACCATCAAGAAGAGTTTTGATTTTCTACACTTATTGTCCTACATTTTAAACGCTCTTTTAATCTCTCATATCTCTACACTTCTCGATTATATAGTTTGTCCTCATTAGATCTAATTCAAGATTAGAAGCTGATCTAAGATGCTTGCTCTGTGAGTAAATTTTCATCGGGGAATTGAGGAAAATTTCAGTTTGTAATTTGCTTTTCTCCTTCATTAGCTCGTCTCTTTGCTCTTGAGTCATGTTTTAGTCCTTCAACTTGTCTTGGAGAAGTTTTGACCTTTCAATGGCTGACTTTCTTTTTTCTTTGTTAACAATTTTCATTCTGACGAAATTCGGCTCAGGCTTTTTGTATTTTTTTGGATTGTCTATTAATGCTTACTTCAGCCTGTTTTCTTAGCTTTTCTAGACATCACTGTATTTTTTATAGACTTACTGCATTGCTTTCTCCTACTGCTCTTTTATCAATTTTCTTAGTTATTTTCTATTTATTGGTTTATTAGTTAGGATATCATTTCGCAAATGAGCAGATCTTAATCTCGTCCTAGGGGTTATGTTATTGGATGCCATTAGACTACCTTTCTTAGGACTTTCATTTGTTACCTGAGAATTAGAGACACTGCTTAATGAACTATTTCTTGAATGTTCTAGTTTGTTTACTGTTATCTTAAAAAGGCTACTTCCAGGGATTGTTGATATACTTTACTGAGATTAAGCTGGTTTAAGTGTACGCTATTGTTAAGAATTAACAGAAATTCTTAAATTTTTAAATCTCTCCTCTCTATTTTTATTTGATTCAGATATTGGAACACTCAAAGACTAGAAATTTTCAGAGTCTCTTGGTCTAATATCTTTTGAGTTCATAATATCATCATCTGCTAATTCCTCTAATATAATTTCATTAGTAACCATAGAATTAGGCCTGGTTTGTCTGTTCAATCTTTTTATCGGACTTTTTTAATTACTAACATACTTCTAAATGTTATTTGCTGAGTTTCTATATTGATTAGCAAGTGAACTAGATCTAACTCTCTCTGCAATTTCGAATTCTCTAACCTCTAGGTCCTCGACACTAACTTCTTTATCTTGCGCTGTACTTTTATTTTTCTTATCTGATGATAATGACTCCTTAGGAGATGGAGCACTTCTTATAGGCGTTTAACGCGATGAAGAAGTTTTACTCTTTGGGCTAAATATATTTTTATGAGTTTACGTTCTTTATAATACTTGCTAGCGTTTCTATTCATTTGCCCTAACTCTTTCCTACTCCAATTTTTCCTTAAGTTCTCTTTAGTTGAGGAGTTTCTTTGTTATCTCACCTTCTTTATGCAAATAGTCTTCAAATTTAATTGAGTTTAAGTCTATTTGGCTTGTTGAATCAAATATTGCAGTGGTTTTGGGGTTAGTATTATATTAATCCTTTATTTTTTCTAAGTCAATATTTATCTCATTTTTGATTTAACGAAGGAGCTTATGATTAAATATTGTGCGGCTCGATCTGACTTTAATCTTATGAGGGTCATTTTTCTTGCATACATGGTCAATTTTATATTACTTTATCTATATATAGTCGTTGTTTTACTTTTTAGCTGGCAATTTCGTATAATTTTATGCAATCTGCCTTCGACTTTAAAGGGCCTCATTAATATCAACTGATTAGCAATTAGACCTGCGTGATAATTATCCACTAGCCTGACGTCTGAAAGATTTCATATTAAACTAAGGCTTAGGAATGCTAAGCAAATTTAAAGTAGGGGAAAATGGTTTTTATAGGAAAATTTGACTTGAAAGCTTGCCGACTTGAATATCTATTTATGACATTTAAATAATTAAACTTAAAATAATTCAGTGAATTCACTACTTCTCCCTTTTTTTATTTTAGTTTGATGGGGTTTTGGGGTTTTGGGGAGATCGGAAGAGCGTCGTGTAGGGAAA